TGACAGCATCTGGCTCTTATGGCGCAGTTGGGCACGCAACTGGGATTGGTGGTGTTAGCTTGTGTGTGTACCACTGCCCTCTTGTTAGCGGAAGGTGAGATTTGTGGTCGTGTCACCATCTAGTGGCTGGCCCCGATAGAGGACACGGGCTGGACTCAGCTGAGACAGTTGATGCCTTTGCTTTCCAGTCGGGAAAAAGAGCTACTACACGTGTAGTAGTTAGAGTGTGCCTGGGTGAAATGACTTGTTGATTACGAGTCTTTCACCATCTTGCTTCCTCAGCTTGGCAATGGCTTGTCTTAATCTCACATGTCCTCTTCCCTTATATCGGTCGTTGCCTGTTTGTGTGCTACTTGCCTCATGAAAATAAAGCCTTCTGCTGTCTCAGCTATAAAGCCAGGATCCTCTTCTGGTTCATATCTTACCTTTAGGCCTATTCTTATGAATCCTTGAGAAAATGGCCACAGAATAAGGGTTAAAGATAAAGGTTACTTGAGTAACCTTTATCTTTATGTGTGCATTTGGGCAAATAAAAGTTCGTACAGGGCCTTTTTCTCCTATGTCCATTCTGATTTGTTTGCCTTTATAAGTCCTCATCCAGTGACATTTGGAAAATACGTTATTTTTCTGTCTGTTTGTGTGCATACACGCACATGCAGGCAGTTTGTACCATGCTAGAGATGCTAGTGAAATAGAGACCATTAGCTGCTCACACTATTCTAGTCCTGCAGCAAATCTCAACCATCTCTGTTTTCCTAAGCACTAAGTTAGTTTACATTAAAAAAAAAATAGATAGGAAAATAGATAAATACATTAATCTTTTGTGGTACATTGTTAGATGTATTTCTTGAGTCCTCAAACACAGCAAGTTATTTTCTGAATTTATTTTTTTAAATATCAACTAAATGTCCATTTTTCTTCCTCTCTGTTCTCTCTCTCGTTTTTTAAATCGTGTCAAATGTTGAGAAGCAGTGCATGTGTTTTCTCCTCATACCATGAATCAAAGGTATGGCTGCCATTCTTATCTTATCAAGATTTATATCCTCATCTAATTTAACTTTTCATAAATAATTACAAGTCACTCATGAGACCTTGCCAACTGCTCCAGTCCCACAAAGTGACCTGACCTGAAACCCCAAAGTACTGAGAAACATTCATCTTGGAGTATTTTCATAGGCAGTACTTCAAAGGGATTGTGGTTTAAAAATATGCAGCTATTTTGGTGACCACTTGTGTGGGATAAAGTTTCCCATCAGTAATAGCAGGACTGTAATAGAGCTTCAGGGAGAAGGAAGGAGTTCAAGGAACTTTTTGCCTCATTCTGCTGAAGTAGTAGGAATCCCCAGAAGTAAACAGTTGATTTTGTTAACACAACTGAGTTTGCAGCAGAAATTCTGTAAATTTCTGATAATATGCAGAGGCAAAAAATTCCTCTGGCAAGTATGCATGGCCCCCACTCAGTTAGGAACAGTGTTTTTTATCTTCTGACCAGGTGTGAAGAATGGTCCAGTAGTGTAACTGGTAAGCAGTGGTTTGAAGGAGCAAAGATAGGAACCGGGAAACATGTGCCTGCAGAACTGCGGCTTAGAACTCTGTTCTGGGTATGTTTACAGGTGGCTTTCAGGTGTGGAGGTCTAGGGTGATAAAGCTGGACATGCAAGAGCAACATCTGAGGAGTCCTGTCCATCCAGCCTTTCTCTCCAGTTAACCAGATGCATCTAATGTTCAGGGGGTGGGAATTTAGCCTCACAAAATACACAAGGTAGACTTAAGTTGGAGTATTCTCTGCTCCTTGGCAAACAGCTTGAATTTTCCTTCAGTATGGGAAAAGTGATGCAGAGTGGGTTCTTTGTTCATTCCTAGCTTTTTGTTAAAGGAAGGAACTTACCTAGAAAAGGCCACTTCTCTGAGATACAGAGGGCTTCACCCATTTGCAAAAGGCTTGAAGTGACATCCCAAATGAAGGTTTTTCATGGTTTTTACTAGGTGAATTTTCTCGAACAGTTCTCTAAGTTTACTGGGGAACATTAATACGAAAATACAGACCCTTCCACCTGCTTGCAAGGGTAGCATTAATTAAAATTCAGATAGAATTACATGCTAGTCAAGATGTGCGTTTTGAATCTTTGGTCTTGCGCTGAAACTGTTGATTAGTCCATAAATAAGAGTTGGTTTCTTTCTGAAGTGGCTGTGCTACTCTAACACATTAGGAATTAAAGGGCTGCCAAGCTAGCAGTGAAGTACATGAAGAAAATGTGTTTCTAGATATTTTGTCAGCAATTGGGAATGTGCCTGTCTTCTTTTATGCTAACTGTGTTCTGGTTTGGAAACCCTAGTGTTTCACAATATTACCTTTTAATATATTTCTCATCGTTGTCAATGAGATACAAGATTTCATTGTTGATTTCAGATGTGTTGGGCAAACACTAGGTTTTTCAATTTCAGTTTATCAGATATGCAATAGACGAAGATAAGACTTTTGACACCCTTTGCTAGAGACTCCAGAATTAATGAAGTGCCCTGGAATTCACAAAGACCCAAAGAAATTGTGTTCTTTCTCATTGACCCTTAGGCAGTTTGGTTTTTGTAGCTTCATTGGTGGTTGTGGTAGTTGGGAGCAACAAATGCAAGAACCTAGTTCTTTAAAGGTATTTGCAGTCCTCAAGGACATGCTTCAATATAGTTGCTGAATTTTGAAGAAGGGAGTAAATCAAAGACTTAACAACTTGTTAAATAGAAGAATCAATAAAATTGTACTGGCGTTTACTGCCACTGGATAATAGAATTTTGAAAAAAAAAAAGTTTTACACTCAATGAATGAAGGTTTTGTTGCTTCTTTGAATCAAAGCCAGCAGGACTGTCTTACCTAGTTTAAAATTTATTTGACAAGTCTGGCTGAAGCACAGGATATAATTCAGAACAGAGTGAGTTTGTCTTAATTTCACACCATTCTCATGGAACAAGTTCCAGGAACTGGTGTGTATAACCAGACCTATCTCTTCCTTTAAATCTGTTCTTCAGATTATTCAGAAATCTGGGACAAGCTTTTTGCCTCTGTAATTTGGTCTACGTAGTGAACAAAAACTTAGCCTCTTTCCCATTTCTTCCAGTGGGTTTCTATAACTGTTTGAAACCTAAATGAGCTAAGAAGCAACAAGGTGCTTATTTAATGTCCTGTGTACCTGGCAAAATGGATCCCTGAACTGTGTTGCTGCTTTTAGATACTGTTGTAGCACAAATAATAACTTGTTGGGTTTTCGTGCTTGCAAAGGACTACCTCCACCACTTTGTCTTCCTTCCATGCCTTTATGCTTTTTAATGAATTGTTATCTGTGATGCGTTAATATGATACATTCAGCAGAACACAGATGAAATGCTGCAAAAGATTTCTGTGAAAGCAGTATCTCTGTCCTGTGCAGGGAGTTACAACTAGGACCTTCATAGGATCAGAGGAAGTGATGTGCAAGGTCTGTTTTAGTTGCTGGATTTCAGTAGCCTGGAACCATTGGGCCATGTAGTCAACAGAGGTGTGTTGTTTGCAATGGTATACCAATATAAGCTCTATGCAAAAGTAGCTGATATTTCCTTTTCCAGAAAAAAAAGGAGTTTCTGGAGGATTTATGTATAACTGTGTATAATATATGTAACTAAGTATAATATATTATACATTATTAATGAGTATTACGAGTATGTTGCATTCTTTGGATTCTTCTACTGGAATAATTGTCATAGCTCTTGTAATAAGAAGCTTGATGAATAAGATTTTAGGTAAGATTTGCATGGTTATATTGTAATTTTGATGCTTCTCTTGATTGATGGAACTTTGAGTTCCTTGATTCTTTTTTTTTTTTGTCCTGTTATTTATATGAGTGGCATTTGGGGTACAGGGTTTTCTAACAGTGATCCTTATTCTTCCCAAGATTGGTCCTCTCCAATCTCATTTTCTGCAGCCCTAGTAAAAATTAAGCCACTTCTGGTGCTTGTATAATGTGATATGATTGTTCCAGGGGAGTGGGCTTCAGCTGAATAATATCTGCCCTGACACTAGGTTTTTCTTCTCTGCTGACATGAGCAGGTGATTGCAGAACTTTTTCAAAGACGATCGATGGAACAGTAGTTTCTTTTGTGGAATGCCCCAAAAAATAAATGAGCAGGATAATTCTTCATTAAGCACTGACTGTAAACTACCCACTATTATCTGAGTGACCTCACAATCCTTATCTAGGGTAACTTGGGCACAGTTGGCATTGCTATGGTGTGTCCATGTTACAATGGAGGACTTTGTCAGGCTGGATGCTGCGTGCACGCATGCACACACACTGTCCTTGAAGAAATGGAGTGTGGTGTCCATAAGGCCTGATGGATCAGCTTTAGTTTGTCTTCCAGGTGGCTGCTGGCTGCCCTGTCAATTTTTACTGTGGACTTGATGGCTGATGAACAATCTGTTTTTGCACAGTAGCCATTTGTTCAAAGGAGCCATTTGTTGGGAGTTTTGTAATATCTGAAAGGTGGCAGCTGTAGTGAAATCCCCAGATACGGGATATTCTGGTGCACTGTACTATATTGTTGTGATTATTGGGAAACAAGCTGCACTGGGCACCCAAGAACAATTTAAAAGTAGCATCTTGTTGAACATAGTTCCGTATGTTGGGAGTTAAGACATTAAATACAAACTTCATCCCAGTGGCTTGATGCAAAGATTTTAACCTGTCTTGGTTCCAGCTACAGACTGCTTTGCAGATTTTAGTGAGGTTTCAGCATAAATAATGCTTGTTTTTATTCTCAGAGAACTAGATTTCCTCTAAAGAATTTCTTGCTTTGACATCCCATTTCACATGCCTTGATTGTGTGTGAGATCTAGAATAAATTGAGAGGAAGGTTGGCTTAGAGTTTTATTTTACGGAATAACTTAGATAAGTGGCTTTTTTGAAGTGGAGGGTCTAGCCTAAATGTTGTGTAAACTTGTTTATAGTTTGTTGTATTTTTCCTCTCTTTGACAGTGATCCGAGCTAAAGTTGTGGGGAAGAAGCTCATGAAAGATGGACCATTTGGAACGATGCGATACACAGTCAAGCAGATGAAGGTATGTTTGCAGATATTTCACATAGGCTTGCAGATATGAAAGTGATTCTAATTAACATGTAATAATGAACAGAGTTTGCGTACTTAAAATAACAGCATCTCAGCTTTTCATATGTGTCAGCCAGAATGGAAGGTAACCAGCAATTGGTAGAGATTTGCCTGGTGAGGGGAAGAGGTGATTCCTGAATACAGTGTTCAATATCTGAATTTTTCCTTTACTTTTAAAATTTCTGGTAGTAAAAGATGCCAGATGGGCTTCTGTACATACTGGAGTACTGCTTGTGTTCACCATAAACCATGTTAGACTGTGGAAATGCAAGCTTTTCCATGCAGAGCTTTCATTAAATTCAAGATGTGGTGGTGGTGGTGGGTCTATCAGCCTTGGAAGAGTGGTCTTTCATCTCTTCTTTCCTTGCATTCTTTGTAACTACTAGTTAGAATGATGGTATTTTTTCTATGTACAGAACAAATGAAACTCATAGAGGGAAGTCTTTATATAAAGCTAAACCAAACACTAGCTTTTGAATATCATCAGCTCAGAAGAGCTGCAGAGTATTGACTCAGAGGTGACAAGAAGTAGATCTCCTACACCAGTTGCTTGGTTTCTCTAGTTCCTCTCTTCAGAGCTCTAATTCTTTGCTGCACAAAGGGCACTCAACCTGCTACTGTGGACTTAGGGTTTTTTTCTCTTCAACTGCCTCCTTGTTATGTAATGCTAAAAATCAGCCGTAGATTGTTTTTCTTGGCTATGCCAGTCCAGTCATAAGACCGGTTTATGTCTTTAAAAAAAAAAAAAAAATTAAAAAAAGAAAGGGAATGGAAAAGCTTGGCAGAGACTACAGAAATCTGAAACATATTAGACAAAGTAAAGGTTCAGAAAAAAACAGTCACTTCCCTGCCTCGTAACAGTAACTCCCTTTATAAGGCAGTTTATAGCTAAGCACGAAAGCTGGGAGGAGGAGATGCAAAGCCTGTTTCATAAGCTGTCGCAAAACCGCACACGTAGCCAAATCTGGTCCTGGCATGGCTCTTCCACTGGAGTGGAATGCTTGCAGTTTGAAGAGGAGGGCTTGAGGTGCTGCGTTTACTAATGTCCTTAATCTTAAAAATTTCTTTTTAAGATTCAAAAGGAAATACATATTTGTTGATTAACTTGTATTTGTCGAGAAGGCAACTAGTTATGTTGGGAACAGTGAGAAAATGCTGCTACTCCCTTTTTTTTTGGTTTTTTTTTTTTGTTTTTTTGTTTTTTTGTTTTTTTTTTTGATGGCTCTCTCTGGCCTTATCAGACTCGCAGCGCTCTGTGCTGTTCTTGTCCAGTTTTGTCACTCTCCAGCTTAACAAGTGTAACGCACTTCACAAAACTACTGCTTCAGCGTCTCAGCTATGAATAGAAAAGGCCTCTGTGTGTCTTTTGGTATGGGAGGAACATAAGCCCAGGCAAGGTGAGCATGTTGAGTGGAGCAGCAGCCACTCTACTGTCAATAGAGATCATCGTGTTAATCTTTAAATAAGATGCTTGAGCCTGTCCTGGCTGTTTTCGTTGGGTTATTCTGCAGCACAGGGCCAGGGTGTTTACAGCAGATACTGCAGTAATCTGCAGTGTCTTTGTGCTGAGACTACAAGATAAAACTGCCTTTTTGCAGGAGCAGTTCCACAGTGTTTTGTTAGGAAGCTATGTGTCCAACAAAAGCAAGAGTGATTTTGAAGGGGAAATCATGTGTTGGACAAATTGCCTTTATGCCAGCTACATAGATGGTGGGCTGGTGAGATGTTGCATTGCACATTTAACTGTGACCTTTGGAAGGGAGAAACCTGAAGCAACCAAAGTGCTCAGTAGAACTGGAATGTCCGGAGGACGTAGTTCTTGATAAACAAACAAACCAAGTGTCGTCTTTGAAACCCTGCTGTCTTTCTGCTGAGCTTAGAGACTTCAGTATAAAGAGGGATTCAACTCCATACAGTGGGGGAGCTCAGAATAACGCAGCAAATCTCTCCCTTGCTTGCCCCAATGAAAGCTGACTGTCCTCCTGCTGAAAAGAAAACTAAGGAGGCCTGTGGCTCTGCACAGCTGCATGGGAACAACTCTGAAGATAAAACTAACATCAGTGTTTTTTGGCCACCTATAAACCCATCTGCACCTGCAGGTGAAAAATAAACAAGCCATTTAGTCTATCAGTGTGTACTGAATTGCCTGTGAAAAGTGCAGAGAGCCTTAAAAAGCAACAAATAATCTTTGTATTTCTTTCCTGGGTTCCTTGGAGTTTGCTGTGGCTGATTCTTGCTCTCACACAAGATACTCCTGAACTCATTGCTGAATTTCACAACTAAACCAGCTTGGGGCCCGGACTGGAGACCAAGGTCTGCCCGCAGGCACAGAGCAGTGCCAGGCTTTCTAGCATTCAGGTTTGTTGTCTGAAATGGCCTTGTGCTGTTTCAAACAACCTCTGCCTCCACCCACTGCTTTTTCAAATCACTTAAAAATATTTCAAGATCACGTGTCAGAAATCTGCACAGGATTGATCTAACCTCTGCATGTTCTGTGATGCTGCAGCGCGTTCTGAGAATGGCCCAAACCTATTTCAGGAAACTGCAAAGGAAACAGGGAGATAAGATATTTCTACTCCATGTGCACAAACAGTCCTGGTTGACCATGGCAGCACTCTGCACAGGCTGCCAGAAACAAGGAGGCTTTCCTTGGTTTGTTGCTAATCTGTAAAATGAGTCTAAGGGGTGAAACATGATAGTCTGAAGAGGAAAGACATAGGGTGGGATTAATTTAGTTTAATTTTAGACAGACTAAAATGAGGTGTTGAGTCTTTCCTGCTCTCTTAATTGTCAATGGAGCGAGACAGGAACCACCAAAGTGTAATTTAGCCCAGCAGTTGTAGACAGCTATTTTAGGATGGGCTGAGTTGTTCTGGAGGTGCCTGTTCTTGGCGTTTGACTAGAGAGGATGCCTAATTCATATGAAGTGCCTGAATTTTAGCTAGCTGAAGGTTAGGCAAGATGACTCCAACCTTGCTATCTATTGTGATCTCACACGGGAGGAACATAGAGGGAGAAACATTATATCACAGAGTGAAGTTAATCATGTAGCAGGAACAAGATTTGCGTTTGGAGGCAGTCTCTCTGCTAAGGAGAATGCTGACACAGCTGGCAATAGAGCAGCACTAGCAGACACCACTGTGTGACACTCGCTAATACTTTGTTCCCTGTCATTATGCTTCCGAAAATACACATTTGTGGCGACAGGAGGACTCCCGAGGGTAGCAGTTAGGACAGAGGTTAGCTGTATGGCTGGTTTTCTTCTGACTGGTGTAAAAGCACTTCCACAATATTTTTTTGTCTCCAAAAGTAATGCTTAAGGTATTGTTTTATTTGTTTTGAAAGAAGGCATCTGTAGAAAATTCCCCCTTGCCAAATTTTCTTTTTCCTCCCCTGAGAACCAAGGTCATGGTGAATTTTCATTTGTCATCAGAGGATGAGGCAGACCCTGTCTGCCCCCAGCACTGGGTCAATTAGCGTGACAGTTGCTAGCATCAACGAGGGTCACTGAGGGGTGAGCTGAAGTGCTTTTTAAGAGGCTGAGCATACTTCCTTTAGCAAGGTGATAAATGGTGGTGCCCTGACAGTAAGGTGAACAGGAAATCAGGTCCAGGAGTTGAAAACCAAACCCCAGTTCACCATCACTAGTTACTTCATAGGCAGTCATGTTGAGCTTGATGGTGCAGAAGATGCAAGGAGTGATGACTGTAAGGGTCCTATAAGAAGGGCCTGAGCAGCTTCTCAGAGAAATGATTACTCTAGCTTGTTGCCCTTTCTGCAAGGGGGAGAACGGGCTCAAAGTGTGCCTGTGCCCTTGTAGACTTTATAGCACAGATACTTAATTAGCCCAGCACTAGTTGGAGCTTAGCACTTGGAGTGACAGATCGCTTGTACTGCACATGCACAGCATACAGCTCTTTGCGGTGTAGATAATGCACTGCCTGGAGAGACTGGGCAGCCCCAGCTGTTATCTTAACTAGTCTTATCTGCTTAGATACTGTTATCATAGCTTCTTGGTGTGACACCCACTAGAATGGAGTCTGAACGCATGTTCTTTATTCGATGTGCCTTTCCTCACAGTGCTCTCGGGAAGCAAGGCAGAGTGGCTCTACAGGGAATGAAAGCGTACTGAGGGCTAAATAACTCATCCAAGGACAGATAGGATGCTTGTGCCAGAACCTAGATCTCTAGCTATCTTGAGCATAATTGGAAAATCTGAGTAGATCATTCCATACCAAGAAAATTGCAGGGATAAAGTAGATATTAAGCAAGGTTCAGTTCTTCCATATTCATTAAAATACTTTGCTCACTTATGGACATAGTAGTGTATTCCAAACATGATCTGTGAGCTTTTGTTGATACAGTAGGATTAATTTAAAAAAAATGCTTTCCTTGCGTATTTGCTGGATGTAGAAGGAAGGCTGGAAAACCCAAACCCTTTAGCATGTCTTTTACTGTACCCAGAAGTGCTATTACTGAGTTGTGATACTGTTATGATATTATGCTGATTGGGGTAGTATAACTAAGGAGAAGAATAACCTGGCAGACATTTCATGGATGCCCAGAAGATAGTTGGACCTCTCAGTGTAGCAGTACTAGTTTTTATATTAGTTTTTTATATTTTTATATGCAATATCTGGGCCTAGCATAAAATCTGTTAAATCAACAGTCATTCTTTCAGAAATAAAAAGGCTTGTTGTCTTTAAAGGGGGTGGGTGAATAGTGAAATACCCTAGGGTAACGGAGGACTTCAAGAGATAGAATACAGCCTGGAGGAGAATGCCGCAGCTTAAGTGACACAGCAGCAAGGACCTATAGCTCTGGGATTGCTTGGGATTTTTTTCACTCTTGCCTTACTTTAATATTTACAGTTAAATTGAACGTGAATGTCCTCTGTCAATAAAGCTGACAGAGAAAAGGATAGGCTGGGAAATGCTGTGAAACTGTGATTCTCTCTGACTCTTATTGTTCTCTTTTAACATTTAAGCATTGGCCATTCATACAGTTGGTGGGGAAAAAAAGACAGACTGAATGCTTTGAAAAGATAAGCAAATTTTAAAGGTGAAATTTTCAGAAAAATCATCCTCAGTGTTTCAAAAATAGGATATGTTTTATTGGGTCCAATGTAAACATGGAATGGTTGTTTTATTGCTATGCACAGGCTTCATGATGCTACTAACAGGTGGGCACGAGTTTCCCTAAATTGCAGCAGTAAGGTCAGGTCAGATAGGGACACATACTAATTTCTGACTGCCAGTATATTTGTGGGTTCATATTTCAATTAAACTGAACTGTACGAAAGATTATGAAAAAGGAGGAGGAGTGTAGAGGAATTATTTATATGTGATATTTTCTTTATGATGCCCATCAGTACTGGGCTAATTTTAGGAGATGGGGTAGAATTCTATTTCTGCATTCATTTAATTGGAGGAACATTAAATCCTTGCTGAGGTCAGCAGGAATTGTGTGTGCAGGCGTTTGAGAAGGAGGTGTCTGGCTTGATGACTTAAATCAAGTGCCAAAGGTCTGAAACTCTTACAGCAGCAACACTGGAAAATAGGGTCATTGTTTAAAAGAAAAGTCCCTTAGTTCAGAAGAAATTGTTTAAATCACATGAAGGAAAAAGATTCTAAACTTGAACTAATTTAATTTCTCCCTAATTATGATCTATATAAGAGAAGGAAATTGTTCAGGGTGTTGGCACTCTGCCCACTCAGTTCCACTGGGCCTAGTGCGAATGGGGAAAGGCGGTCCCTGTGCTGAATTGCAGTGGCTTGTTAGCAGGTGGGTATTCTGCTTCACTGGCAGGTCTGGTGGGGAGACTTCCATCAGAGCCCAGCTAGTGCCATTAGTCCTTCACCCTTGTAAACACTAAACGTTCCCTGCTTGCCACCACGGTCTAGGAATGTGGACTGTAGAGAACGTAAATGAAAAGTTGCCATGTTAAGATGACCTAAAGACGTTTTATTCTTTCTCTAGATGTACAGGGGCTTCCAGATAATGCCACATGTTCAGTACATCTACACAGAAGCTTCTGAGAGTCTTTGTGGAGTCAAGCTGGAGGTCAACAAGTACCAATATCTGATTACAGGTAAAGGACAGTGTACTTCTTCATAATCTAAAACTCTTCTGTTCTGTACATACACGTGCTAAGGATATGGGCAGCTGGAATAGGTGGCCAACAGTGTTTTGGTGCTTAATGCTGAGAGTCATTTCACTTTCTAGATTTCCTTCTTTCCTAAAATATCTTTTATACCCAGCTATGTTGTGACAAATAAGCTGTATGACAGTCCGCCACTGTCAATTCATACCTGAGCTGGCACACCTGTCACAGCGAACTGGTTGCTACCCAGCTGCACCAGAAATGGAGGATCCTTTTTGGAATGAGCTGGAGAATTGCATGCTGCTGAGATGGGGGGATGCAAGGAGATAGAGATGTGGCTGTTGCCAAGTTTTGTTTCTAGTAAAGGTGTCAAATTGCTTTGCTCTACTGTTGGGGGGAGTTTGACAGCATTACTCACCTGCATGTTGTTGCTGGTGCTTACAGCTGGCACAACACTCCTAACTTAGAGAAGTGCTGTAATCTTGCTAGCCAGACATTCCCGAACCAGTTAATAAAAAGAAAGCAGTTGCTGAGCGGTGACTGAAGCCAAACATATTGAGAGCATTAGCAATCTCAGGAAACGAGAAAAGTGCTCGAGCTGAGAAGTGCTAACTTGTGACCGTGTCTCTGTTTTTAAGGCCGTGTGTATGAAGGGAAGGTTTACACTGGCCTGTGCAACTGGTATGAGAAGTGGGACAGGCTGACTCTGTCCCAGCGTAAAGGACTGAATCATCGTTATCATCTGGGCTGTGGATGCAAGGTATGTGCGTCTCTAATTAGGTGGCATTAACACATTCAAACCCTAGAATTCTGTTTCCCCTGGCTGGTAATACCAGCGATGCTGGTGAACAGCCAGGAAGAAAAATAGAAGACAACAATTTTTACAGGGGAAAATGTAAAGCTCAGCTAGAGTGTTGGGACCAGAGAAGAGGCAGTCAAATAAAAATGCCGAGTCTATGCCTTTATAATGCCCTGTTGGAGTTAATTGGGGTTGGGGAAGGCTTTCAGAACCCATGCAGAATCCTTTGTAGGTGAATGAAATCAGGTACCAGAGGCTTGGCAAGATGTGACCAGTTTTTTCCTGTGTAAACATTTTACAGTGCTTAAAGCCTCACAGCCTGGCACTGGCACTAAGATTTTTGCTTGTGGCCCCAGGCCTACGAAAGCATAGACACAAGCTCAACTTTTATGCACCTGACACAAGCCCTTTTGACTCTGGAATTACCTGTGTATGTGAAGCCAAGAACATGTTTACATGTTTACTGAACTGAGGCTGAATTTTGGGTTAGTAAGCAAGGTTCGAGGGAGTGGAATTTTGAATCCCTTGTTTCTGGTAAAAAAACATTTCATGTGATGTTGTTTTTCCATGTAGCCTTACCTGATTGTTCTTTAAAATTGCAGATTAGGCCCTGCTACTATTTGCCCTGCTTTGCCACCTCCAAGAATGAGTGCATTTGGACAGACATGCTCTCCAACTTCGGCCACTCGGGATACCAAGCGAAGCACTATGCCTGCATCCAGAGGGTGGAAGGTTACTGCAGCTGGTACAGAGGATGGGCACCTCCAGATAAAACGATAATCAATGCCACAGATCCCTGAGCACGCTATCCCTTCCTTATCTCCCCTCTCCCTTACTTGTGGCTGATCTTCCTTTGGACACTAACTCTTACCAGATCATGATGATGACAATGAAATTAGTGCCTGTTTTCATGCAAATTTTAGCACTTCGAACACTTAAAAAAGAAAAGAAAAAAAAAAAAAAGAAAAAAAGTCTTGTGCTACCTTACTGAATTTGTAATCACCTTTTCCATTTTTTGATACCACTCATTTTGATCTGACAACATTTGGGAGCTTACTTTTGCACACCAGAGGGAAAAGTGGGAGGGAGAAAAAAAAGAAAAAAAAAAAAAAAGAAAAAAGACAGAGCTCTTGCTCTCTTACATGTATCATTAGCTGTAGCAATATAATCTCTATTTTTTTAGGAAAACAAAAATCTAAAAACTATGCCAATTAGGCACTGTATTCTTCTATGTGCTGGCTTCCCGTCACCCCTCCTCATGCACTAAGTGCTGAAAATACATGGACAAATCTATTTGAAGGAAAACAGGTTTCCTTAATCAGATTGGCAAATGGAACAAACTGAAAAGAAACCCAGCCTAAACTCTGGAAAAAATGACATCCAAAAGAAATCCTCCTCTATGGGAGAGACTGGCAATGTGATTGACTCCAACAGTGGGAGAATTCACCCGGTGTGTCTGACCACATCATCTGGTAAAAGCGTTGTTGACTGATTGTCCTAGCTATTTCAGTCACTGTGTGAATTCAACAGCACATTTGAAGTTCTGGTTTTCTCCAGAACAAAAAAAGAGAGTATTTTGTATTTTTGTTGTTGTTTAAAAAACAAAAGCCCTATCCCCAGTGTTCAGGGAGGTAAATCCACCTACAGCAGAGTAGATGAAGTGCTGTGCCATCCTGTTTTGAGCAGCATTGGCCCCTGACATTTTTGCAGCTTAGCTTCCACAGCAAAACCAGCTTGTGAACACCTAAACCAAACAGATATAAAAATACCAACTGTAAATTAATCACGTGGAAGAGGGAAAGGGGAGACTTGCTAGAGCTCTTACTATAAAAAAAAAATCTATTGCCAAAATAGTGTTTTGCTGAACTAAGATGTATATACACATAATGACATAAGCTATTTTTGACAGGATGTGGAATTTTTTTGGTGTTATAAACAAAAGAATGGTTTGATTGTGTTTTAAAGACAGAAATATTGACATTCCGAGTCAGTGAGTTGTTCTTAAGATATTGACGCTCCAGTGTATCTGCAGTAGTGGCTACAGTCATTGTTTCCTCTGTACCTCCTTGCACCACGGTTCCTCCCCTGCGGCTACACTGGCTGCATTTGTTTATAGAGTGAAAGGAAGTGTGGGGGGCTAGGCAAGGAAAAGTGGTCTCCTAATAAGTGCTGGCTGGGATCATAAAATTCCAGCTGCCCAGAGGATTCCTTCTGTGTCAAGTGCTGTGTTTCCCTCTAGGCACTGTTAAGCATAACTCTGTGCATGTGCTCATACCATGTCCTGCAGTGATTTGGGAGGAGGAGCCTTACTGTCTTGTGCTTTGCCGTTGACTGGAGAAGTTTTTTCGTTCTATTTTGTTTTTTATTAAGAAAACTATAATATAATTTTTCTTATCAAATAAAAGTATTTTAAGTTTTAATGATGGTGAAGAAGGGGTGCTGACAAAATGGGTGACTGAGGTTTGGAGGGGGAGGGCTTGGGCAGGGAGAAGATTATGCTTAACTTCATTTTTGTATTATTATGATTATTTATCTTAAGTTTCCATATATCTTCAGTTCATTCCACTTAGAAAGCAGAGCTGCCACCAGCAGGAAAAAGTGTTGCAGTGAGTCCAGCTCGGGGCAATACAGCATTTTAGAGTCAGTGACCTCAATTTCTGAAGAGTTGTTTGGGACCTCTTTGCCAAATGGAAAGGAAAGGGTGTCTGAGATAAGCCCTGGTGCATTTTTAAGTTCCTTGCATGCTACCAGAGCTCTGCCAGACATACATCCCCTGAAATGCCCCATTTACTAGATGAAATGCTGCAGCAAAAAGCTGTGTAGCTTCATTTTTAACATGAACTTTAAAGGGCATTTTCAAAGAGTTGATGTAAGAGGTGCCTAGGTCTGTTGTGTATTTTTTTTTTCAGCTGCTCTGAGTGGCAACGCAGCACAAAACACATTGAAAGTCTGTTGGATTTTCCTGTGATTCAGGCTTGGAACACTTTTCAGAAGTCCTCTTCCCTGTGACTACTCCTAAATTACGGGTTGGAGATGAGAGGGAGAGTAGGTTGCTTCACAGCACCCATCGTAGGATCAGGTGGTGGGTCAGACTATTGTCCCCTGTGGCAGAGTATGGGGTTGGGCTTTGGGCACAGCGGAGCAATCTCTGTTTGAGCTGTGCATGGCTGACAAAAATCTGTGAGGGTCACTGAGGGCAGAGTGGAGCTGGCCCCGCCACCCTCACTGTTTGCATCGTGTGGCGTGGGCATGGCTGGAGATGGCCCTCCTCAAGCTCAAGGTGACTTCGCAAAGCTGACGTCTCTTTGACGGCTTTGGAAGGCTACATGAAAATGCCCCTCGATGCAGTGAAGTGTTGATTTGAATTTTCATTAAACTGCAGCTCTGTGTATTTTACCTGTCACTGATTCATTTAGCTAGCTGAGACATCACAGTATTGCACTCAAATTATTGTGAAAATATTTGCATTCTAATACTATGAGGACTCGTGTCCCTAAGTAGGATATAATGTAGCTATGTGCTTTGTAAACAACAAAACAGCAGATGCATTACCAGAAAATGAAGCGTATTCCCATTTTATATTGCAGACGGTAAAATATTTCTGAGATGCAGACAGCTAGACTGGCAGGGGTGGGGGTTTGGTAACAAGTCTTTCCCCTTGCTGTGTAAAGAAACAGTTGTTAAGGCTTTTAAAAATGTGGAGCCAAAAGGAGGGGGAAGAATCCAGTAAAAATACATTTCTTTTGGGAGGCTTCTTAATTTTGTTTCTGTGCATGCTATCAGGGACATATTTCTTGGGCTAAGCTTTGTCTTGTGCTTGCGTTGAGAACCTGACTGAAGGCTCCCTTGAAGTGGGAGGGAGCCATTAAATGGATTGAACAGGCTCTAAATCAGATTCAAAGACTTCTTCCTTTCTATCTGCTCTCCTTTCTTCTGTCTCGCAAAGTCACTTCTGCCTGCCAAAGGACAAAACTCCTTTCCTCATTACATTAGGCCATGCAATACGTAGGAACACCAGGCATGGAGATGTGAGGAGGCAGGTGTTACTTTGTGGAACATACAATGGCTTGCAGCAGCACAAATATCTTCCTGACACCTCAGACATGCTCCTCACTTCACCTCATAACCCTGAGATCAGAGGAACTGTCAACGGCACAGCTTATGTAAGCACGATGTTTGGACATGTATAGGATGAGGGCTTCCCCCACCCTCCCCTATGCTTTAGATATACCAACATTATTAAAGCTTACTTTTTAAAAACCATAACTCACTTCTAGACAGTTGCTGTTCACTTTTTAATTTATAGATATTTTTTCTTATTTGCCTGAGAGTCTTTTCCCCTTTAAAATTATCAAAAATATGAAAAATAGATTGAAGGTTTGGGAAAGACTGGATTTGATTTTCCTTTTCCAAAATGGGAGGGAGTAGAGAGCTCCTTTTGTGGGAGGATTCCCCCTTCTCTGTATGGGACAAAAGTGCCATTTTAAGTCTAAATCTCCCATATTTTGAAGAGTTACATGGCCCTCTAGGTAGAACTATTCTCCAACCTAAATATGTCACCATATCCCATTCATACTCGGCCAGAGTGAAAAGCTGCCTCACGGTGATGGGAAACATACTGTTGTGTTTTTTACAGTAAAGACTGTTTGAAGTAAAGGCCTCCATGGGATCAAGTTTCCATTCTTTCAGATGTCTCTGAGAGTATATATATCACTTTTAATGTATTTTATAGCTTACAAGGGGCAAACAAAATTTAGAAAACTGAATTTTTTGGGGGTCTTTTTTAGAATAAATGGCTTTTTGGGGCTACCAGTCTTGAGAAAAAATCTTTAAAAATCCACTAAACATCTGCTGCTGCTTTGCCTGTATTGGCTTCCCCTTCTCTCTGACACTGTTCTTCCTTCATAGAGCCACTCTGCTGTTCCTGATAGTCATGGAAACTTGGGGAGGGAACCAAACCCGTGTGAAAAATCTTGTCCGGAAGGAATGTATTTGTTGCTAAATTTTCTAGCACTGTTTACAGTTTTCCTCCATGTTATTTATAAATTTTATATTCAGTGAATGTATATTGTCTTTTAAGGTAATGTTGCATAATGTTCACTTTTTATAGTGTCCTTTTATTCTAAACAGTAAAGTGGTTTTATTTCTATCACAGACATTCTGTCTCTGCTTCACTTATATTAGTTTCTGTCCACTTCAAATGTACACAAATGGATTTGCAAGTGGATTTATTCATTTCCTTCCCTTCCTTCATACCGGTTTATTGGGCTCAAAGCAGATATTCCACCTCTAGCAATTCTTCTGCTTTGGCACGTATCCCTCCAGCCGTCCTCTCCCTCTTTTTAAGAGGTTGAATTGTTTATTGGGGTCATGAGCCCAGGAGAGGCGAAAAATGCCTTTTGAAGTTAATGCATCCCACTTGTGGGCTGGCCGGAGGGGGTCACTACAGAGCAAGGCAGTCATCATGGCTGTCCTGTACCACCAGGAGGGCCTCAGAAGAGCAGTTGCCAGATTGCTCTTATTTCCAGTAAACTGATCACTGGGAGGAGGGTTAAAAGGTACATGACCCCCACGGTAAAGGGAAGACTGATTCATCTTATGGATTTTTGCTGCTGTGAAATGTCAGAGCCTTGCGTCCTCTCTTAAGGTTTGCTCTTTAAGGCTGGTTAAAAACACCCCGTTGTCATGAGAAGGAAGCTTCAGAAAGAGCATTTTCAAGGAAATTAAAATGCTCAAAACAATTGCCCTGCTGTTAGAAATATCCCTTATCTCACTTTTATGTTAGGAAGATCTGTATTGTCTACACAGATGAAATAAAACAGATTTTTAAATCTGTTCTATTTTTAATCCAGTGGTTTAGAAAGTAAGCTTTGGAAAGTTTTGGACGTAGAAGGATGAGGATCTCTTACGCGAGAACTTCATTGCTTAAAGTATATCACATTGCAAAGAAGTAAAACCATAACACTAGTTATAAACACTTCCAGGGGGTCAGCCATCAAAGGACCACAGTGTATTTTACGAGCGCTAACTGGTACAGCTTGAAAATGCCTCCAGGAAAGGGAAGAAAAAGAGTGGAAAAGGGGGATCATTATATTTCTATCATCTGACACATAGAGAAGCTGATGCACAGTGGGCAAGCAACTTCCACAGCTACTCGGTGGAGGGATAACTGCCACGGAGCTTGCTTGGTGTAAGCACTTGCCCTCTCAGGCTCTCACAGCCCAGGGTACTGTGAAGATGCACCCAGAAGAGATCTTGAGAAGTTACACAGATTCATTCTGTGAGGCAGACCCCCCACCTGGAAGGGGCTGGCCTGAATTCGCCCAAGTGGATTGTTGCTTGTCTGAATGTTTGGAAAGTGACTGATTTGAACCAGATTACTCAAGCTTACATGTCAACAACTGTGTTTGTGTTCAGATGAGATTATCAACAGTTTAAAAAGGTTCCTGAATTCAATTGGAAGTAAGAGATAACATCTGCAAGTAAGCAATAACATCTCCAAGTAGGTGATCAGTTATAGCGATGAGAAATATGTGAAATTAGGATCAAACCAAACTACTATGCTGGTAACAAATGCATTTACATGCTGAGGAATCAAGAAATCAGATTTCCAGACAAGAAAATAATGCAAAATAGTACTCGCCTAAAGTATAAGCAATGAAAACCTTAATCAAATCTTCCAAAAATACCAAAAATCTTCCCTCAGTCACGATTAGACAAAGTCACAATTGTCCTGAAGCATTACATATGTCACAAAACCCTCTTTATAAATCAAGGGGAACCAAACACAACAGCATTTATCAACTAATTTGTCCTAAAAGTCTGCAACTAACTGTCCCATAGTCTTTAAGGACCATCCATTTCTTTATGTCTTAAATGATAATACAACTCTTACCACTGCATTACTTGAGTGTTTCAGAGCAGTTATGACTGTACTTACCTTCATGATGTCCCCGTGATGACATTATGGGCGTGATGTTGTCCGCACAGCACAGGTGGAGAACAGAGCATTGGAAAAGCGAGATGGAGAACAGGCATTTCAAGATATTCTGGCACCTGTGAGCACCGGTGGGTTTTTTCACAAGAATCTGAGACTTCCTTTTGAACTTTGAAGCTCCCACTAGGTCTCTATATCCACCATCAGGTACCTACACTGTGTTACACATTGTGGTTGGCCCACATAGTATTGCAACTGTGAGTGTGTGTGAGAAAAGAGGGGTTTCAATGTTTTTGAGCCCCAGTTTGATGACCCTATTCTTCAGGCTGCCAATGCTGCTTGAGTTCACCACCATTAGGTGTGGGAAATGAGCTCAGCCAGGCAGTGGCTCACACGGGGGAGGGTGGGGGGAGTCATGGTTCACACAGAGTCTCATCAAAGCCTCAGCCAGGTGAGAAGAGTCAGTAATTTATGGGTGCAAATTGGGAGAAAAATTCATTAAGGACTACTCATCCTTTTAACCCAAGGAAAACAAGAGACACAAACAGTTTTAAACAAAGCTGCTCGCTTTGCCGTGCTCTCCAGGACTAAAGGCACCTACGCAGGTCTCTTTGGAAGGTGCCCTATGAGTTTGGTAGGGTGCCCAGAGTGTTTTGTTGTTGACAGGAAGACTAGACCCCAAAGCCACTGTGCAAAGGAGACATTACAAGCTGAAACAAACTCTTTTTCAAGAACTCCAATTTGCTTTGAGCACCCAGTCAGGCTGATAAATGTTTCGTGGATGGCAACCACGTGACAGACCAAGCAAACTCACATTGTGAAACAAATATCTCTTACGGCCCATGTCCCAAATCATCAATGTATTTTAAATAATTCCAGGAGGGGAAAAAAAAATCCACTTTATCTGAATAAAGTGATACTTTGCTCTAAGGGATGAGCTTTTGTTGACTAGATTTTACAATGGATTTTTGCTTTGGTTTTGAGCCTGTTCTCATTGTTCACTTTTTCAGGGTCCATATGTGACCTTGGGGATGGCTGGGCAAGAAAGGAAAGAGGTTCCTGAGCAGTGCTTTTTGGATATTGCTTTTTAGCTAGTAGTTCTCTGGAAGTAAAATTGAGGCTTTTCCCAGCATTCCCACCACCGTCTCTCGTGCCCAACTCACATTTATTGCTTCTCCCCCATCCATGCTGGCATCAGAAGAAAGCAACGGTACTCACCATCTGCTTATGACTTGGGAAGAATGTTTGCTCCACGAGGGGGAACTTCTCAGGACCCAGCGAGTTGAAGATTTTAATGAGCTGAGAGAACTTGGGGTGAGGGAGGGGGAACAAAAAACAGATACAGTGAATGTCAGTGGCTTATTGTGTAACAGGTAAGTGCTTGCAAAATGCTCTGATGGGGGTAAAGGAGGTGAGAGAAACATGTCATTATGCCTTTCCCGCCTTGCTTTCTTGACCTGCAAGCAGCAAGAAAGATATAAAGTTGCTGTATTTACCCAGGGCCAAGCCAGGCTGAGTACACAAAGCTTGGACTAAGAGAGGGGAGAAAAGGTTCAAGAGTCAGACAGGGATCAGTCTGGGTTTAGTTACAGATCTGCAATGAACAGGCTTTGCTTTCTGAATGTGGCTGGGGGGAGGACGGGGTGCCCTTCTTGGTAGAGGAAAGGGCTCAGAGCAGTGACCAGTGCCACCACTCCTGAGCAGAGACAAAATAAATCGAAGCTCCTCCTTGGATCTCTGCACCACAGCCAAATGAAAGCAAGACACACTTACCCGTTGTGGTGAAGAGAAGGAGGGTTGGTAAGGACAGAGATGACTAGAGGGGATTGCCAGGGCTACCTGGTTTGAGTGTTAGACCAAGGAAGCATAAGCCCACTGTCAATCATAACTAACATTTATTATAAAACCAAGTGTCTCCCAACTGCACCATTGCACTACAAGAGAAAGGAGAGCTCAGCTGCTACTCCTGTCCCATCTACCAGTGAGGTGGGAGGGAGGCACCAGCCTGTGAGGATGCTATCTAGAGAAAGCAGTGTGTAACATCAACCCGGAAAGCAACAGGGCTGGCATTTCACGTACAAGGGTGAACGTTTGCCATTGTCCCCACCTGTGAGCATGAACTTCACCATTATCACCACTGTCATCACTATTGTAAACTTTATCATTCAGGGTTGTGCCCAACCAGACACAAAGCTTCCCATGGTCGGACCAAGTTTTGATTTCTGTTCAGGCTCCAAAACCCCAACAGAAGTGTAGCACAGCAAATTCCTGCTCTGCTTCAGCCATCTGTGAAACGAGCAGGCCATTCTGTACAGTGTCTGCAGCCTCCCTGTTCAATCTGTCATTGATCATCTGGAGAAAAACCCAAAACTATAAGAGAGAACTTAATAACCATGACAGAAAATGTTGCTGAAGCAGGGTTGATATACCAAAGAGACTAAGAGGTGATATATAACCCAGAAACCTTCCAGATCTCAGGAGCAACTTTGATTCTTTACAATCATACATCTGGCCATCCTGCTTTCTCTCTGAAGAGGTACAGCCCCATTACCACAGACAAAGCTGAACTGGCAGTGCTTGGTCAAGTGGTTAGACTGGCAGCCTTGCAGAAGGGGGAGTAAAGCTGAGTAAGGTAGCTTGGTTATTTTCATGGATGTGTAGAGAATAAAATGATTTGGGATTGCTCCATGGGTAAATATTTTGGTTCCTACTGAGCTGGTAAATGTGACTGAATTCCCCATTGATGTCCTATTTGCAAAGTAATTTAGAAACTGAATTTAGTTTCCAAGACCCCTAGAATTTGGTAAAATCAAGTTAAATTAATAAAGGCCTCCAATCAGGGCCAAGTCTCACTGTAAGTCTTTTACACAAGTTCCTTCAAGTTTCCCATCAAAGCTAGGGATGCACTCATCTTGAAGGAGACCTTTGTGTAGCCTGAGGGAGGTAACACACACATTAATGGAAGGAAACAGACACCTCGGGAACAGGGGAAGGAAAAGAAAGCCCTCTTTCTTCCCTGTAGCATCAGCTGCCTAATCTTATGTGCTCTGAGCACTTCTGAGCAATGGCTGAAGCCAGCACCAAATCACAACCCTAATGTTATATTGCAGGCAAAGAGAGAGCTACTGAGAATGTTTTCTCCTGAGTAGCTACGTTAGGGCTCCTGTCCTGGTCACTGGGCTAGTCAAAGCAAACATTTCTGTACAAGAAGTTAAAACTTCACTTGATAGTGGAGAAGAAATAACCCATTGGGAGTTAAAGGGTGATATGAGTGTAAAAAAAATGCAGCCACTCTGCAAAAAAATCAGGCTGCAAGGTGTGTGCCAGACCCAGGCCACATGCTGAAGGGGCAGCTGCCAGAAGATTAGCAGACACATGCAAAGAATCCTTTTCCTAATCTGGTAGGTCAAAATGTGGCATCTACGAAAACTGAAAAACATCAAGAGGTGTCATATCCCATCACTAACACCACCCCCCTCTCACATGCATCAGCAGATAAGAAAAAAATTCCCCATGTGGAGTAATTATTATTGGCAATGAGAGTATTGATGTTGGGGAAGGAGGACAGCTTGCTTCTCTTAATTACTTGCACTAACCCTGCACATCCCAGAGAAGAAAAATAAAGCCCTGTTTTGACTAGCAAAGTGAGCAAATAGAGCTTAAAATTTAAACAGAATGAGACAGACACAAGGAAAGGAGGAAAAACAGCCTGGCTGAGAGCAGCACATGCCCCTCGCTGTGTGTGCATGCAGCCCTGGTGAACCATGGACACCGTGACGTTGAGGTGGCACACGTTTATCCTAGGAAAACAGCTCAAACAAAATAACCAGAACAACTGTGCAGCTGACAGACAGTGTCCTGACTTGTTCCTTGGGCTTCCTTTTGAAGCATACAGCTCTTGGCTGTAGCTGAAATAGCAAGTGTTTCAGATGGACAGATGAGACTCAGCCACCTGGGAGCCTCCTCAATGGGCCAAGCCTGCAAAAAGGTCCGACTTTGTTATTGAACCTCATGAGACAATTCCCTTCTTTTTTCTTGCTTTCTTTTGTTGTTTTTTTTTTCTCTCCCTTCCACCCCCAGTTGTTAGGGACAGGATATTGACAAAGAGACACCCATATTACATGCTGCAGCAGCCTCTTAGAGACGTGATACCAGGGTTCAAGTAGCATCCCCTGGCACATTTGAGATGGGTAGAAATGTTACTTTAGCAGCTCAGCTAGATATAACTGCCACTTCCACATTTTGGTATCAGTTGCTGCTTTCTGTGGTCCCACCGGTTTTAGTGAGATGGCATCCAGCCCACAAAGCAAGACACGGGGCAAGGCCATGTGGTACAGCCTGGTTTTAAGTACCTGGAACAGACAGGCAAATGAAATGCCTTGCCTAGCTGGTAGGACATCAGAGTTACTTATAAGGAGTCTTTACAGAGAAATTAAAAGAGGATCTCAAGGCCTTCTGCATATTTTGGAAGTGCCTAGGTCAGCAGGGAGCCTGTGTCCCTTGACAGTCAAGAACACTTTGGCTGGGAGTCTCTTGGACTCCGTAGGTGACTGTCCTCAAGACTTCATGTTTCCTGCAGTCTTACAGATGCAGAAGTTGCCCTGAAATAATGGACATTAACTGCATGTAATATGAGTACTGCTCTGAGCATTGTTCCCACTGTATTTTGTATTGTAGCTTTTCTAACACAAAAAATATTATTAGTGATAGAAGCATTGTATTTAGTGTGCTTGTAGCATTATTTCTCAATAATTCTGGGATCCTCTTAAAACTTAGATTTCTCAGATGTTTCTCTGTGTGTGAGATTCCCCTGAATACTCTGTTTTACTTTCAGAAACGCCTGTTTCAAACTGTGCCTGCTTTCAATGCAAATTTTAACCTTTGAAGAAATTTGTGTATTGCAGTACTGGAAACCTGGCAAATGTCATTAAAAATGGGGCTGCATGTTTGAGTAAACTCAAGCCCAAACTCAGCTGATTGTAATTAGAGTTGCTGAGAAAAAACATTGTTGGAAATTGCCAAGAAAAAACAGTCTCACTTCCATCCCCCTCCACAAAATCATAAACATTTCTATGAAATGGAACCATTTTTGGAAAAAATAGAAAGGGAGAGTGAAAAGCACATTTCCCAGGAGTATTTAATTTCATTTCTTCATGTATCTCAACTTTTTTTTTAGGTCCAAAAAGTTTCCAGTAATCTTTGTTAAGCAGATCTCTTATTTCAAGATGCCTGTTTTGCAATCAGAGTGGAACATGCACCACTCTGTCCCTATCTTTCATTTCTCAGCTATCACAAAATCAGAATTTTCTGATTCTGCTGCCATAGAAGCTTTCTGCCCTCAGATGCCCCACTGCAATCTCTACCTGAGCTTCAACCTGATAAAATTTCAGTGGTGCCAAATACCAGCTGAGATCCCACCTGAGCTCTTAGATTACTTGGTGAATTACAATCATTGGTTTGGGCAGTGATGTGTGTGTGGGTGCAGCAGGGAAAGGAGGCATTCTCTAAACCTGTTTTAAGTGTTTACAAGTGGTTTCCTTGACTGCTCTGGGAAGGCTGGCTGAGCCAGCCGTATTCCCCCTGAGGAAAGCATGGCACAACCGGACCCAGAATAGCTAGAGCCAAGTTACTGGCAGAGCCAATTTCTCCCACACTGCCTTGCCAGCCTTGCTTTTTCTTTTTTTCAATGTGCTGAGTTTGTTTGTTTTCTTTTATTTTAGATTCCTAAAAATAGGCCTGTCACATCTTGAGGCCCTGTGCACACCATCAGAAATGTAATTTCAAGGCACGAGTTGAAAAATGCCAACTGACATGCTTGTGTGAGTAGGACCAAGTGCAGGAAACAATGCAAAGGTGTTGTACTGAGCTTGATTTTGATCCCTCTCTTCCTCCCCTTTCCATTCCCAGCAACCTTTGTCATTCAAATGGGGACTGAGGCCAAATGCACATCATCCTCCTATACAGTGATAGAAAAGTGAGATTTTTCTCACTGCTCGCATTACTGCACTGCAACATTTTTTGAAAAGACATGACCTTGCTTTTGGTCTCAGCAAAACCCCCAAATGTCATCAAAGGGTGAAAAAATAGAAGACTATGTTTGTTACACTGGTACCTTTTTTTGGTAAGAAATGAGTTAGCTCCAACACTGCACAGTCACAGAAATAAAAGTCTGAGTCACTACAGCTGAGTCATCAGCTGAGACAAGCTAATTATAATATTTTTTAAGGGTTTTTTTTTTGAGATTTTCAGGTGAACTTGACAAATTTAAAGAACAGGTGAAGGGGGCTCCCAGTGCAAAATATAAAAATTTCTCCTGTCCTGTTCTCCCCAGGAACTGCCTCAGCCCAAGAGGTTTCCGAGGAGCAGTCTTTCAGGTTCAATGAACCAACACTTTATGATAATCTTGTATTTCCTTCTGAAACAGCTTAAAAGACTTCACATGCTTTCCACTTTCTTTCTGCCCCTTTCCCGGGTCTCTTTGTCATTCTATGTTCCCTTTTTTCCTAGACCTAGCTGTTGAAGAAATCATCTCTCTAGCTTTCCTGCCTTTCTTTTCAGCTAGTTTCCTCACAACAAAGACCACCCAGAAAAAGTAGGAAGAGAAGAGTAGAGAGGATAAGTGCAAATTGCACTTCTGCAAGGAATGGATAATCTTAGTCTCAGACTGGGGCACCTGGATACCACAAGTATGCATCTAATAAAAGATGCTAAAAATAGTGTAGTTCCGATACCTTCTAAACCAGCAAATGTTAATGTTTCTTTTAAGGTTGTTTTACCATGTCAGGTCAGAGATGTGCTACTACTGATCTGATATTATTAATCTATTACTAATCATCTACTCTGCCTTATAAAGTGTTACTGTATTGTTAGCTGTTTGCGACACATTAGTGTCTGGGACATGTGAAATGTCCTACTCAGGGTGAGAAAATAACACCTTGATATCACTAAAGGCTGATAAAGGAGAAGTGCTGGTAGTTTTTTTCCCCAGAAATTCCCAGCTGGATTCCTAAGGTTATTTAGATGGTGGTTTTAGCCTAAAGAGACAAATTCCTACGTAACAGACTGGAAGCTGAGTTTGGTGCTTTGTTGGTAGCACATATCAGTGTTGGCATGCAGGAGAGCTGGATCGTCACTTACCACCCAGGGCTTGCTGCAGAAGTTGTAGATGGAGTAGAGGGAGTTGACCGTGTGGATGCCACCATACTGGAGGCCGATGATAAGGCTGCGGAAGTCTTCTCCCAGCGCCATGCTGTAGGCGTGCTGCCGGATCAGGACAAAGTCAGGCTTGAAGGACCTGGAAGAGACGAGAGGAGTGACATTTCACTTTCAAACACTCAGAAACATTTCTAGCCTCCCTGTTTCTTCTCCCTCTTTCCCTTTTTCATTGACACATATTGCTCTTCCCCGTGCCTCTTGTCATAGGTTGCTTGTTTGAAAACCTCTAGTCATGAAAAGAACGAAAAATCCAACATAGGTGCAAGTGTGAGAGGGTAGAAACAGGCCAAAGAGATTTGCTGCAGTTTCCATGTCACTCAGGCATGCACAGGAACAAGGCACAAGCGGAGCCAAGGGTCATAAATTCACTGGTGGGGGGATTCTCTTTTCTTTCTAAAAGCTTAGCCATATTTGGCAAGCTCCTTGCAATGTGCGACGCAGATGAGGGAGCAAGTTTGTTTCCTGACGATTGAACTCGACATTGAATCAATGCCCAGTGGGTGGGAAGATCGGGAGGGATTTCAAAAAGCTATCGTACACATCCATACATTGACATACATTCCCCCTTTAATCAGCTTACTACATACGCAGCACATCCCAGGCTCTTATGGCTATGAGTCAACAAGTAAAGGGCACGCATGGTAATGTAATTAATCAAATGAGCAGAGCCCCTCATCCAGTGCTGTGACTCATGGCGTGGACTTCCAGAATATTATTTAGCAAGACTGGAGCTGGGACTCCTATGGTTCAACAGCAGCAGCTCTCAGCAAAGGCACAGAAAAGTGAGGCCCTTTCTAGGAAAGCCAACAGGATTATCTTTCACACAGCCAGATCTCACTCCTCGCTGATGCTGTGCCTTCGGAGCCATCCAGAAATCTCTGGAAACAGCAGCTGGAAAGAGACTGTTCCCAAAATGGAGCTCAGCAGTTCATTCTCGAAGGAATGGAAGGGGCTTTTCCACTGAAATAGGGAATTATTTTATACTTTGACAGAGGTTGCATCAAGGACATTGGAAAAATTTCCATGCTGTATTGAAGTATTTCAGAGAAATGAGCTCTGTAACCAGGTCCCATTACCTCACTACCCTCGAACATTTTCCTTGCTAAGAGACTATAATTTCTATCCTTCGGATGTATGAGCTGGAAATACTTTGGGTTTATAGCCCCTATTTATATTTCCATCATTTTGGCAGGGAAATCCGAGATGGTGACTCTGGGCCAGACTGTGGCAACAAACACTGTATACAAAACTCAGCCCAGCTTTGTTGTTTCAAAGCTGTTCATTTTGTTTGTTGGCCTTAGGCTTTTGTTATCGTCCGAGACATGGCGAGGAGCATGCTCTGCCTTTGTGATGCAAGAGGCCAAGCTTTGGAAATGTTGTGATTCCCTCCCATGGAGTATTTTTAAACCCAGGCATGTTCCCTAATGTACTTGGCACCAAAGGTGGTGCTTTCCTCCAGCAGCGAGATGCATAATGAGCATCGGGAGGGCTGCACTATCACTCTGGAGCTGATTTATGGACCTCCCTGGTGTCAGTGTGGGTGAGGCAAGCGGTGACCTCCTGCTGAGAAACAGCAAGTGAATGCAAATCTTGGAATGCCTGAGCTGCTCCATTCTGCTGGACTTACCGTGTAGAAAGTACCTCAGAGGCAGGCACAGGTCCTCAGGAAGGATTAATCAGCTTCCTAGGACCAGGACTTGATATCTGTGCTGAGTTTCTGAACAGTTGTAGTGGCTGGAGGGGCAGGAGCTTTGGGCATGTCCCCCTTCATTCAGCTGTTATGGCTCAAGTCTTTCCCCAGACCTGTCTTTGGGACCAGCACTTACTGGGGCTGCAGGGTAACGGTCCAGACCATTGCTCCAGTCTCCCCAGAGGAAGCAGCAGTATTTTCCCTTGAACATCTCCCCCAGCACCCTGGGGTGGGAACGTGGTGCTGTGGTGGGGACAAAGCATGCAAACGCGCATGGCCAGCCGGAGGGGAGGCACACACAGCAGCTGGGAAACTGCCTTCAATGGATTTATTTCTGCCAGCCAAAAGTTCAGAAAAAAAGCTCTTGTCTTTTCAGATCCTGGCAAAAGGGAGAGTTTTTCAACTTAGAAGATGGACACAAGAATACAGAATTAACGTAGAAAAGCCTATTCTGAAACTCTGCATCGTGTAGGAAGGCAGGGCACTCTCTCATGCAGCAGATGAGGAGTGAATCTCTAAAGTGAAGGTGGACACTGAATCCCTGTTTTGAGCGGTGGGACAATAAGGATGTTCCCATGGATACTGAGAACAAGGCAGAGGAGTGCAGGGCCCGGGACTAGCTACGAATAAACATCAGCTGGGGAGCTCTGGAGCCTGTGAGACGTCTGTAACAGAGAAACAGAGACCAGTGGCAAAATGTGAGGCGAGGGGCTAGGAAGGACAGCAGGCAGTAAAAGGGAAATGAATAGTCATGGGAAGAGTGGTGGCATGAAAACCGAATGACTGGGGGTACCGGTGATCTGGAGAGAAAAAAAAAGCTAAATTGCTTCACAAAAGGATTCTTGCTTTTTTAGTAGAAGGTCACTTTTGCAAGCTGCCACTCATTCTCAGAGTGTAAAGCTTAAGTAACATAGTGAGCCTTCGACTTGGAATAGCTAGTAGCATAAATGTTTTCTTTGCTAGTTCAGCCCAACCCAAGAGCATCTCCCATGACAGAAAGCTGAAATCCTTGGCAGACAGACAGGTTAGGCAGAAGTCCCACATTTGAAATACTGTTGCCAAAACCTTTGGGTTGAGCCAAACTCGGTAGCACCTACTGTGCTGAAGTCCTAAGCGGTGGAGTTCTGAAGGACTAGGAGACCCGTGGCAGGAGCATGGACCTTTTCTCTCCACTAGATCTGTCCAGCTGGTGTTTAGATGACCACAAGCAGTCATCTCTGCTGTACCTAGTCCTCTGTTAAAGACAGGTCTTGGGAATAGGTTTGGTCATGAAAGAATCCAGGAGAGCCCATCTAAGCAGCTAACGGACAGGGAGATGGGATAGGTAAATGGAACTAAAAGTAAACCACAGGTTTAAAACACGTTGCTAGTAAGCTGTGCTCTGCATGTTGGTGTGGTGCCCTTCCTGGGCTGAGTGGCAGACACCTACCTGAAGCTGTGAATCTTCCTTAGCAGGATACCCAGATGAGTGAAGCTTCCAGGAGAAAGATGGAGCTCATCTTTGGCCACAACCTGCTTACAGAAGCCCTTTCTCAGACCCCAAGAGCTCAGTTCTCATTTACAGTTTGGCTCTTAGCACTGCCTGGCAAAATAAAGGCCACTAAAATGCATGTAACATATTCCCAGAGTGCTGTAGAGGTACAAGAATCCTTTGTTTAAAAAAGAAATAATCCAAGAGACTGGAAAAAAATTCATTTTCAGATTGAAATAGCTGCTGAGATTTCATTTTCCTCTGGAATGGAATGGAAAGGTTCCTTTCAGCTCGTGTTGCCACACGCAATGGCCTCTGCCAAACACAGCACAAGTCCTTCAGTGCTACGAGTGGTGCACGACTGAACTGGCCACTCCAAGAGTGAAGCAGTCATCCACAGGTCCTGTGACTTTTTTTCCTCTGCAGTAGTTGCCTTCCTGTCACAGAAGTGAGCCAAGGCACATGTGGCAGCCACTCAGCCTACCTCTCATCTTGGCAATTGAGATGGGCCAGCAATTACCAGAGTCAATCAGCCCCAGGTGATGACGAGTTTCTGGCCAGGAAGGTGCTAGTGCTGCCAGTCCTGAGCCTGGCCTCTGATATTGCGGTGCAGGATGCTTATTTGCATTTAACTAACTCTTTATCAACTTGTTCCAATGCATTTTAGCAATCTCTTTCTTTCTTAGTGGTAAAACTATACTTTAGAGACAAACCTAAGTATAAAGCCTGGATCCAAAACAACTAACAGGAAGAGATGTGACTGCAGAATATAATTTCTTAGGTTGGACCCATCTACCCTTAAATCTGTGACAGTGTTAGCTGTCTTGGAATTAGTTTTGTCAGAAACGAGGGAATATAAAACAACTTAAGAGATTCCTGATGTCAAATATGGAAGTTAAACCTCTCAGGAGCAGCAGTAGCTGTTCTGGTGACCATGTGTCCAACTTCTCTAATTATGAGAATAGAATCAGCTCTGAAAAGATCATCAATAACATTTCTCTGCAGAAAGCAATTCCCCAGCCTCCTTTGGGGTAGAGAAGATGATGACAGCAAATCCTGCTGGGAGACTTTATGCCTTAAAGAGATTTCCTATTTCTTATTTCTGCATATAGCCATAACTCTGGCTTGCTTGCTGGCTTTTCTCACTGAAGCACAAAGAGCTTCATGGGAATGAAGAAAGAACACAAAAGAATAGACTATATTGTCAAAATACATACAAAACACATTTTAACGATCCCTTCCACTGTGAATTATCACCTGCAAACAAAGGGTAGACCTGTTTTATTCTTTAGAGCCATGATGGGTTTAGAGAGAATTTTGCCTGGGCTGTGGAAGAAGGATGGTCTCTCCTGCTCTCTTTCTTAGAGCGTCAGTCTTACAAGACACTTCACCCTTCATGTCAATAGAAAAAAATCTTCCCTGGACACTGAATATGCACATCTTTACTTCAGGTTCTGTCTACCCTGCATTATTCAAGGAGGATTTATTCTGACACTTTCCAGAGATCAAGACATTTTGACTAAGTTCTCTTCCAAAGCCTTTCCTATCTGCTTGGCATGACACAGGGAGGAAGAAAAGTGGGTAATTAAGCAATGTGATACATCAAGCTTTGCATTACTGGCAATTAATGGAGCCTTCAGGCAAGCTTTTGAGGCAGAAGTCCAAGCCATAAGTGGCTGCAACTACCTGAGAAGTGCAATAATCCTTTCAACTATGCAGTGCCTCAGGTGTTTGAGGGCTCATAGAAAATGGCATCTACAAATAGGAACAAGTTATTTTTGTGCTTTACTTGGGTGTTAATAGTATCATTATTACATTACTGAAACATAATATGAAATCTGTGACATTTTCATCTATCACAATGTTAGATTTAATATTAGGTTGGATGTCATAGCAAAATGGGAATTTGCTAAGAAAA